GGGCCATGTGGAGGGGGGTGGTGGGGAGGGGGCAGTGGGTGGGTTTGGGTTAGACTTTGAATAGCAAGGGGCACTTTCTCGAGCGGTGTGAAATGGGTAATAAATGTATTAGGGGGCTAACAAGAGAGCCGTAACAGTGACAAAGAAAAGCTGTTCAAAGTTGGCGGCTAATCCCCCACCCATCTGCCTGGCTCATTACCATGTAGCGAGCCATCGGGTGCCAATCAGGGCTCAATAGCGGCTTTGGAGTCTTTATTAGCCAGGCGCCGTTTGGAGGGGCTCTGCTCAGAGCGCTGACAGCCTCACCATTCTTAACCCCCATTTCCAGGGGTTTTATAACTTGGTTGTAAATTGCTATTAAATGTAAGTCTGCCCAATAATGAACCTTAAGCCCCCTTGCCACCCCCTACCCCTCGCCTCCCTCTTTCTCTCCATCCCTGGCCCTATTATCACCCAGCGCTGGGGCCTTGGATGGGGCCTGCCTTAGAGGAGAGGTTGACATTGTTGGTGCTGCCGCCAGAGAAAGCCTCTTAGCTTTTAAAATAGTTAATAATTAGATTAAAACTTCAAATAAATTAACTAGAGAGTGAATGAGGACTAGGAGAGGGAGGGCGCCTCCCTCTTTTTCTTGGATAGCCATCTCTTCTTCAGCTCCGCCTGGGGCTGCCCTGCTGCTCCAGGATGGGCTGTTGGAGGCTTGTGCCTGGGACCCTCTGCATCTCCTGCTTACCTCCCACCCTTCATGCTCCCAGATCCCAGGGGTTGGAGGGCCCTGTGAGAGAAGCCTGCAGTGTAGTGTGGCAATCCTACCATCTGCTCAGAGCAAAGCTCCAGGGAGGCTCCTTGCTCCCAACACAGAAGGCATTAGAGGGAGCCAACGCTTCCACTGTGTTTAGGATCCAACCAAGGTCTCTTTGGTCCCTGGGTAGTTTGAGATTCAAGTGACATTGTTGAATAGTCACAGAGAAGGTACCTATGGAAAGGTCAGCCAGCTCCCTGGGAGGGGCTGGAGGGAGTAGCTGGCCCATTAGGGTACCACACCTTTGCTCTACACGCCCTCCATCTATACATTCTGCTGGGAACCTGCAAAGAGCCTTACCATAGCCTGTTTTACAGGCATGTACAACTCAGCCTCAGAAAGGTGAAGTTCCAGAATCCTATCAGTCAGGCTGATCTCCAGCCTCCCCCATCACCCTGTCCCCCAATTCTGAGGTACCCTGGAGAGAGTCTGAGCATCAGAGACCATCTCTTGTTTGTGCTCCAGCCTGGGGACCACTTTTCAGATGGCTGGCTTCCCTACCTGAATTGTGTTGCCTCCTGCCTCCCTAGCTCCTGATAGGTACCATCTCCTCCAGGAAGCCTTTCTAGAAGTGTCTTTTCCTTGTATCCCTATACCCTCTCTCAGTTGGGCTCTGTTCCAATCACCAGGCATGTCCATGCTCAATTCCTTCCTCCAGGGCAAGAGAGGGGAACCAGAGGGGCAGTGACAGCTAAGCTGGGATGAGCAAGCTTTATGAGCCTCAGTGGAGTCTACAGGGTCCCCGAGGCCAGCTCTGTGGCTGACTTGCTACTACTAAGCAGTCTGGTAGCAGCACCTGCCTGGATGCCTTCTCTATAGACCTCCGTCCACACTAGAAAAATGGCAGGTACTTCCACCCCCAGTCTATACATGGGGAAACTGAGGCTCAAGGACATAGAGAGTGACTTGCCCAAAGCCAGCTACTTTGGGACAGAGGTTCTCTGACAAGATCTGATGTCAGTGCACTGGACAACACTGGGGAACCCTCCTCCCAAGCTCAGAGGCTCATAATATTGGGAACTTCAAAGCCCCTGCCTGTGCTCTAGCTTCCAGGAATGCAGGGAGTTAGAGGGCCTGGGTTCCAGGCAGGTAGAGAAAGCACCCCTTCATTCTTGATGGGTGGGCACATACCTTTTTTGAATTCTATCTCAAGGACATCTGGGCTGTTGGGTGCTTTGGCAGGGTCCTGGGTCTTTGTGTAGAGACCTGGAGGGGCTTGGTTCTAAAAGAGAGAGGGAGGAAGTTGGGATATCAAGAGCCATACCAAGCACACACATCTGCTCACCACTTCCTGCAGGCACCTGTACCTCCTTGTCCTTGTCCTGGACTGCTGGCTTCGGGCACTTCCCCACCAGCCAGTGGGTCCAGTGGACTCCCAGCTCCCAGCCAGCCCCGCCTGCCAGGGGCCTGAGAAACAAAGGGCTCAAGAAATCAGACAATTTTTCCCCTCAACTTGATCTCATCTTTTTCTTTGACGCCCCCACAGCTGGAGGCAGAATAGCAGGAGAGAAGCAAGTCAGGCAGGAAAGAGCGGGACTTCACAGGACTGCAGCACACAGGCTTCCTGGGAGCCTCATGCACGCTCACTCTCTCGCTCGCGTCAGCGCCTGGAATTGGGGTTTATTCTGCACTGACCGCAAAGCTAATGACTGCGCGTGACCCCAGCAGGTGCTTTAGCGGGCCAAGCCGTCCCTGGGGTCCCCGAGGTTAATACTCACGGGGAGAAAAGAGAAGAACAAAGCAAAAACCATTTGAAAACACATCAACCTTTATGTATATTTTTTCTTGGGTGCGTTAGAAAATGGGCCCCTCTTCCTTAGGAGGAGGCGGAGGGGCTGCTTGCTGCCCAGGACTTCCTTGAAATTCTCTCTCGCCTCTAGAGGCTCCAGCTCCCCTGCAACCTAAGCCTGAAGCCTGGACACTTGCCACCGTGAGGCCTGGAGCCTGACTGCTCAAGTTCGTCCCCAGGGCATCCTGTGCCCAGCTGTTCTGTCCACCTGCTGATGTCTGGGAATCACAGCCATCAGCTTTTCCTTTCACAACCTTGAGCTCATTCACACACCACTGCTCATTTTGGAGTTCTGAGCAGCCTTGCCTGGCAGGGCAAATGCTGTCCCATCTATGGGGGAAGAAACGGAGTTTGCAGGGAGCACTGTCAAGTTTTGCACAAACCATACTCTACACAACCACAAACAGTCCAGGCTACCTAGCATATGGGAGGGGAAATCACAAGGCCCTCAACAACTATGGTGAACTTTGCTTTGTTGTTTGGTAGATAGGGTCTTATGTCCCAGGTTGGCCTTGAACCTCTGATCTTCCTGCCCCCCAAACTCCCAAGTACTGTGATTACCACTACACTCAACAGTGGTAGACTTCAGGATGGTTGCAGATGTCAGGCTGTGGTGTCTTCAGAAGACGGTTGTGATTCTTTGAACCTCAGTTTCCATATAGGGAAAGGATGCATGTCCTTGACTGTCTTCAAGTTCAAATGTAACACATGAAGTGTTGAGCAAGGGCTGCTGGATACTAAGTCACTCACTCTGAAGGTGGGACTTCAGCTTGGAGACAGACACTGTGCCTCCCTCCAGAAAGAGTTCACAGAACGACACCGTGGGACATCTATAGTGGATCCCTTAGCCATCAGCTCTGTGCTGATTGATCAATGGCCTTATTTTCCCTGGGCTGTCCTGTATTTAACATCCCAAGTGTCATACTTCAAGAATCCTTGGTGCTACATAGTGGTAAGTTTTATCTTTCCTACTCTACTTCTGAGCTCCAAGGGACCCTGGGCTGGCAGCCACAGCCTCCTAAAGTGCTATTTGTGTGTTTGGACACAGGATGGCCTTAAAGGCAGATCCAGGGAGGTGTGAAGGGTCCACCCTACCTCCCCCCCTGCCCCCTGCAGCAAGAGTCCTCCAGAAATCAGAGGGAAAAGTAAGGCCCAGAGAAGTGGCTGGTCCAAATCACACCTTAGGGCTCTTCAGCATCTCATGCTGCTTCCCAGCTGCTATGGCAACCTGGGCTGAGAAACAGTTTGATGCCTGTGGTTGAGTGTCACACCATTCATCATGGAGCAGAGAAATGCCATGTTCACAGACACACTCTGGGCAGTGCAAAGACCACGAATCCTTGGGCATAAAAAGGCTTGAAGCTCAGCTCAGAGGTTGGGGGGCTGAGGGTGACCAGCGCAGCAGTCACTTTCCCACATGTCCCACAAGCCAGAGCTCCAGGCCCTGGCCTAACTCAAACCCCTAAACCTTTCCACCCACCCCTGTCTGTAGTGACTGCAGCCACTTCAGTTTTGAACCTGTTCTTTCTCTGGCCACACAATCTAGCCGTAGAGGACAGATGCCTTGGGAAAGACAGGAGACAGGAAGGTCCTTGGGACAGGACAAGTTCACACACTCTACTGCAGCAGTCAGGGTAGGGGTGGGCAGCTGACAGCCCCATTCCATCAAATAACTAAATAGAAATAAACTGATGTTTACTTTGCATTCTGAGCTCATGGGGTGCCTGCCTTCTTTTTAAGTCTCCCTCCTAAAAGCCCAGTTCAAATGACAAATAGTTCATTGCTGAGTATCTGGTGCCATTTATCCACCCCAGCAGGAGGGCTCACTTCCAATGTCATCTGGGTCAGGTGGGGGGAAGACAGGAGAGACAGAAAGGAGAGGGGGATTGGGGGGGGTGAAAAGAAAGCATGAAACAGGGCCTGCAAAGGAGGGATTGCAGCAAATGGCCCATGAACTAACCCATGATGTAGAGGCATGATGGATGTGGGGGTGGCTTATTCACCCATCAGATATGGCGGCCGGCGGCTGAATGAACTCTTTCACTGTGGGCCGTATGAAGTTAAAGCAAGTAAATTTCTATCTTTCTTCGTATTAGCTGCCTCATTGCCCTTCAATCAGCCCTGGCAGAGGCAGAAAATGGCTCAGCCATCTGCCTCAAACCCTCCCTTCCGCAGACGCAGATCTCGGGTCTTTTTTTGGGGAGGGGAAGGGGCCCCTTGAAGCCCTCAGTGCTCCTCCCTGAGGGTGGGGGACAGCTGGGGGGGGATGCTGCATGGAGCAGGGGGACACAGAAGCAAAAGCATCTGGGTGCTGTAGGATAGGGGAAAGCCTCCATGGCCAAGACAACACAGAGGACAATATCAGTCCCCTGGCCAGAGTGGAGGGAGTCTCTCAGCAGCCATGCTATCGCCTCCGCCCTCTACTCAGCCCAGCCTGTTCCTACTGTTTGATGAGGGAAGAGTGGCTGGAGACTGTGCGGCAGTGAGAAGCAGAGATTTGGGGTTCTGATGCAGGGTACTTGTCCCTGGGACCTGACGGTGACAGTACCTTAGATGGGAACATAGTGACATGGTAATCACATTAAATCTCAGACTCCAAGCTGCTTAGGTAGTGATGGGGCCATGTTAGCCCTGGGACCCGGATCTGATCCTAGTGACATGGTAATCACATTAAATCTCAGACTCCAAGCTGCTTAGGTAGCTTCAGCTGGGCTTCCCCAGTTCTGAGGTGGCCAATTCAGGGGCTCTGCTTCTTTATGAGATTAGGTTGATCACAGGCTGCTGACAGAAGGCTGGGAGTTTTTTTGTTTTTTTTTTTTTTTCCAGTGTACCTGGGCCCACAGGAGCTAGTCTGGAAGTACCTAGAAGCACTTGCTCAGTGGTTCAGTTCTGGGCCCCCCTTGGTGTGACTGACTGGCTAATGAGCAGTGGTTGGCCTGAGTGTCATGGGGTCAGCAGAGCATGAACTGGAAAAACCTGTGGCCAGCAGGCAGCAGCCCCATGGGCCCATCAGTCCCCAGGGTTGGGTGGGTGGGGGCAAGGGCACCAGCTTTCCCTAGTGACAAGTGTGGGCTCAGCCATTCATTGCCTCTGCACTCGTACCCAGCCTGGCCTGCTCTCACTGTTTGACGAGGGGAGCGCTGAGCAGAACTAGGACACTTAGTCTTAACTGTGGCCTGAAGAGAGGGCAGGACCCTCATGCCCCTGCCTCAGACCTTGTCCCATGCTATGCTAAGCACTTTCTATTTCTACTTTGTGCAAGAGGATTGGAGGCTCGGACAGGATGGGTGCCTGAGGGAAGGTGTGGGGAGGGCAAGGGCACTGAGGGTCCCAGTTCGGGTCTTGATCAGATGAGTCGCTGCTCTGGACCTTGGTTTCCCCACCCATAAAACAAGACTGTGCATAGTCAGAATCCAAGGAAATCAAAGCAGGAAAGTGCCAGAGCTAGGGCTGGGCTCATACACTTTAGGTGGGCCATCACAGCCTGGTGCTGCCAGGGTAGGGAGCACAGGGACGGGGCAGGGGAGTGCAGACCTGGGCATGGGGGTACCCTGGGACCTTGGCGTGGGGCTCCTGACCCAAAACGCCAGACCAATTCTCCTCCAGCCAGCCTTCAGGTCCCTCAGGCCCAGCTGCCCAAATTCTCCAATGTCTTCCAAGCAGACTAACCCCGCAAAGCAGCCACCCAGGGTGTGGGGCCGGGCCAGGAACTGGAGTCATTCCCTTGTGGACAAAGAGATTTTTTTCCTTTTCCCATGATAGGTTTCACCCTGCCTCCCTCACTTCCCACAGCATGTAGGAGAAAACAATAAGCGCCCCCCCCCCCAGGAACAGAAACCTTACATTTGAAATGGGGCTGCAGGCCACCCTGGTCAACCCAGGAGGACAAGCCAGGATGGGTGTGAACAGAGACCCAGACAAATGGCTTATTGGGTTCAAGCCCTCACACCCCAATCCGAGCAGAGGCCCAGTGCCTGCCCATAGCTGTTGGGCACAAGCTGTGCCCTCCCACAAGTGCCTCATCTGCTTAATCACTTCTTTATTGTCTTTCAGTCACACTTTCTCT